CGCTTGTTGACTGAGGTCGGGATGGAGACATTTAGATTTGTTTTGCTGTTGGCTCCCTGCATTTTGGGCTCCACCATGCTGCTTCCGAGCAGACAAAGAACTATGGGACAGTCTCGCGATTCTAGAGTGTTCTTCGTGATCAGGCGCAGCCTGATGGCATTCACCATTTGGCATGGCTGTGGTGCCAATCTCTCGTACTCCCGCACGTGATGAACCTCTTCTGGGGAGCAGCTTGGTGCACTAGCAGCCGTTCACTGGCTTGACAGTCTCTCCTAGCCAGACATGTTTCTCGAGCTCGCTTCGGCACGAACACATGCAGTACTGAGGTGAAAGTCTTGGCAGGCAGGTGGGTCACCTTTGTTGAAACATCTCCGAACGCAGCCCCATACAACCCTGCCTGAAACTAGACTGCTATGCCGGTGCATTCGAAAATTTTGCAAACAGTTTCCGTTTGATCCAGTTCCTGAATGCCCTGCCAGGTTTCTTTGCAGTCTTTGCCGGTAAAGGATCCAAGGGCAAATAGTCCGCACAGATCCAAGATCAATGGATGTTCCTTCTCTTCGCCTGCATTGTGCAGACCGGAAATGGTCAGAGTTTCTACCCAAGGGCACTTCAGTCAAATTCTTGCGGCCCTTTCACTGCAAGGAGCATCGCGTTCGATGCTTACAGTTCTTAGAAGAATTAAGGAATACTTGCAGTCTCCAGTAACAGCACCATAGTCAGCATCTTTTCCGTGTTTCTGCTTGTCATCGATGAAACAGTTCTCTTGTGACTGTGCGCGAACCCAAGATGTACTTGCGTTACCCGCGCTTGACCTGAGCGGTACTTTGCGGCAGCCTTCCGGTACGGATTCCATGCGTGAGGGTCAAACAGCACAGGGTTTGTACAGCACTGCCCTGTGTCGCTTGACCGATTCTAAATGCTGCAGACAATCTTCTTCTTGTGGCCTTCATCACATTGCCCTGCGAAACAGGAACCATATGGTGACATATGTCATCGTTGGTTACTGGGCGAGACTCATACTAGTCTGCGAGGCCAAGTAAGTCAGGTTCAGCTATCTGCGACATTCGGCACTCTCAGTCTCGAGTCTCTGGAACACTTGGAAGCCCGGGCTTTCAAGGCAAAGAACGCAGACAGGTCTTTGATTCACGGAGCAGATCTGAATCGCGATCCGGTAAAATGATGTGTTGCGTCGGCTTCTGTGGCTCTCTCCGCAGACCTATCAGTGCACATGTCCGACTGCTAAACGTGCAGAGTTGTCAGTTGCTTCGGTTGATCACCGCTTACCGATAGTGGAACCTAGGCCCTGTCACATGCCTGCCTGGTTCTCAGCAGACGAGGGAAGCCCTTGGGTGAAGGGAGCTGATGTCTGTGGCGGGGCTGCGATCGGTGATGCACCGCATTTCATACTAGCACACGAAAGGTCACCGTGGACATACCGAAATCGTGGAAAGCTTGGTGCACAGCTTGACTGCAGCTGTGCAGTGCTGCGGCAAAGTCAGCAGATGGCTAAGGTTTGCTGGAGCATCAGGCAGAGCTGGCCAGACTCAGTGAAGTGCACCAAATTGACAGCTGCTGAAGGCCTCCGCGTCGGCTGTGGACTTGACAGGGCGGGCTGCGCTTCACTGGGCAACGGCGCAAGGATGGGAGGAGCGGCAAAGCACCGCACGGCATCGCATTGCTTTACAGGCTCATGAATAAATTGTGCTGATTTGCTCAATGAAGGGTGGGTCATGCATGCAGGAGATCGTGGACCAACTCCTCCAAAAGCGAGCACTGCTGGACACGCAGGTGTCTCGGCCACTCCTGGGTTTGTCCAGGAAGAGGTGCGCAGTGATTGAGGCATTGCAAGTGTTGTGAGAGCCGGATCCCTGCGGTGTGGTCGGCATTTGTGACGAAAAGGAAAGTAATCCATGGCTGGTGGCTCACTCGACTCGACAGCCAAATGCTAGTTCACCCACGAAGAGCCAGCAGCAACGAGTAACGTGAGACGGTTCAGTGGACCTGGTTTCAGGACAGACGCGGTTGGTCGCCCATGCTATTGGCCTCGCAGGCACGGTCGGCCGCAGCCGCAGGTCGTGGTCGGTATCATTTTTCAGTCGAGCGACGATTTGGAGCCAGGCCGGCCACTTTGGTGTCCTGAAGACGCTGCTGGAGGCACCGCCTCCGAATCGAAGCGAGCTAGCGCAGGGGGAGCGCGGTGGGGAGGGGGGCGACTCCTCGCCAGGCCAAGGCCGCGCTGGAGACGAAAGGCTTGGATGGTGCGGCGGCCTTGGCGAAAAGAGAGCCGAAGAACAGAGTTGGGAGGCACCAGGCACGGATCCTTCCTCCCAGGAAACTGCGTTGATGCTGGCTGCACTCAACGGGCACGTGGAGGCCCTTCCATTTTTTTTGCCCTTGTGTGGCCTGCAGGCTGAGATCTGCTCAGGTCATTCGGCTCCTCGTTGCCCGGCGCGCCAACCTTCAGGCCCGTGCAAACGACGGCCTCACACCGCTCGGAGCCCAAGAGGAGGCTTTCATGGCGGCTTTTGCCAGAGCCAGCCGTGGAGTCTGCACGCTGCGCCTGAAAGTGCGAAGGCTGAAGCTGGCGGCAGAAGCTGGCAATGTCGAGGCCTGCTGTGCTTGCTGCCTTCTGCAGGGCTCTTGCACCTTTCCCTTCAGGTGGTGGAACTGCTGGTCGCGCTGGGTGCTGAGGCAGGCTAAACTCCAAGCCCTGAATGCCCTCACCTCCCAAAGCATGTCCCCTAAACCCGGAAACCCCAACCCCGAACTCACAAAGCCCGAATGTTGTGGGAGTGGGCTTCTCCAGGTGCCACTCGAAGGCTTGGCCATCGCAGAGGCGCCGAAGACGACATTGGAAGTAGCAGTCGTAGAAGTGGTGGTTGTGGTGGTGGCGGTGGCGGTAGGAGCAGCAGGAGCAGCAGGAGCAAGAGCTATAGCAGGAGCAGTGGCAGTCCAAGTAGCAGCAGGAGTGCAGTAGTGATGTAGCGGTAGCGGTAGCGGTAGTGGCAGTGGTGGGCGGTTGTCGTGGGGCTTCGGACGTTTTGCGGTCTTGCTGCGTTTTTGGTCAAGAAAGTTATTGGTAGTGGCAGTAGCAGTAGCAGTGGCAGTCGTAGTGGTGGTGGTGGTGGTAGTGGAACGGGAGGGAGGAGGGGAGGAGGAGGAGGAGGACCGGCAACTGCAGCAGCACAAACAAAACGAGATTGGTTTGAGATGCAAAGTTAGTAGATGCTATCAGGGTTTCAGATTTACAGGTAAGGAGGGCAGGCTTTGCAGGGGTGCTGAAGATGCATGATCGCAGGCTGCCATCGCCCTGCCAAGCCAGGACGCCAAGTGTCGTCATCGGCTGAGAATCTGTACCCCAGACGACAGCTACTCGTACTGCAGGGGTTGGAGGTCTTAGTGTTCCTGGTAGTTTTGGGGCCCAGGCTCCGCTGATGACGGCCTCTCCTTGACGACCAGGCGCCCATGGGCCGTCAAACTGTCATCGCTGAAACGAGGTCGGAAGAACTCCTGCAAGTGCCTTTCTTGACATCCATATCCCAGGCTGGCCGAGCAGCTTGCTGAAGAGCTCATCTCGACGGATGACTTCCGTGACACGGCGAGGCAAACAGCGCTCGTGTCTCTTCAATCTTGGCTTCTCGGAACCTGAGCGAAGTCAATTCGAAGTGAAGTTTTGCCCAGGCGGTGGGGTTTCGACCCCAATGCGGGTTTGCGCTTGCCAAGAGCTCAGGGGATCCTCAACCGAAATGCACAATCGGCTGATGTCGTCTTGATGGTTTTTGCAACGATGTCGCCCCCATGGAAACGTGAACCCGCCAGGTTTAAAGCTGTTGCCGCTGCTGGCGTGGACACGACGAAGCTGAAGGCAAGACTCGGGAAGGGATGAGGACGATCGGCACACACCTCAGATGAAAGCCTCGGTTGAAATTGCACAGTATGTGGTCACAGACTTTATGACGTTATGAGTGCTTCTGTGCTTGGCGCAGCATTTCCGGATATTATTGCGTGGCCTTTTCCATCATGTCAAGGCCCTTTTGAAACTATTTGAGCCCGGACAGATCCGTCTCATCGTTGTTATGGCCCGACTCCTCTTCAAGAAGCGACCAACTCCAGGCAATGTAGCACATCCTCGGAGCTTTGGTTCTAGGATTCTAGGGCTGAACAACAGATTTTGCGAGCCTTTGTGTTGTCCGCTCAACTAGTGATTCAGTGGCTGAAGCATTGCATATCTTCGCAACCGCGTAGCTTTGCCTGCTTGTCCCAGTGTTAGGAAAGTATAGCATGTGGCTGCACTCTACGCAGACACGCCAAAGCTGCCGACAGGAACGTCTAGTGGAACTCGGACTGGTTCAGGACCGGAGAGGGCTACAAAAACCGCGAGAGGTGACACAGAAGTCACAGCATGAACCGTTGTAGTGAGACTGGCAGTCGAAGATAAGTCCGCAAGAGCAACAACAGCCTTAGCAGTGCCGACGTAGATGCAGAGCAGCAGATGCTTCTTCCTGAATGCGAGGATCCAGAACATGATGGTATCTTCGATTGGGACGATCTGAGCTGATGCGGGCGTATCTGCGTCAGAATCCACCACGTGCTACCCGCCAACTCACAAGTTTAAGCACGTGTGCGCGTGTTGAACAGTTGCGGAGACAAAACGGCTTGCTCGCAGCACACGCGCAGATAATTATCGGTTGTCTGAGCTATCTGCTCTACCATAATGTGTACTTCACGCTTCAGGGCTCACCCATGTTTCCCTTTTGGGTTAAGATTGTGCCTGCCCAGTTCCCTTCGGTCAATAAGCCAATCTTGAGAGGAGAGGAGGTCTTGCAGCCCCGTCAGCTCCAAAGTATATGGCTCCCATGATTCAAAGGCTTGCGCTTTCAGCGTGAGCCAATCGAGACACAAGCGAGATGCGGTGTATGATGTCAACTGCTGACTTACTGTACTACTTTCTCGAAGAGCGTGGTCACGGTCGAGTCCAGAGGCAGAGTGCAGCTCAGGTCATTGCACCCGCAGAGCCGAAGACACCAAAGGACACACAAGGCGGAGAACTCGCGCTATTCACTACGACTACAAGTATCATGATGTGCGGTATTCAGGACGGAGTCGTAAAAGGATCTTGGTTTTGATTCTGGCTTCAAGATCGACACTAGAAAGTCCCTCTCGGAGCTTCGCAGCCCGCGCTTGCGTCCCGTGGCAGGTGTCGAGGCTTCGAATCCCAAGGTCTCACACTCAGAGAAGGGCAGGGAAGCACTGCTGCATGGAGGGCTTCACTCCTCTCCCACAGCGAGGCCTCTGAAAATTCGTGGACGTTGGTCTGGATCTCGGACCAGGCCACGCTAAGAGCTCGGAGAGAGAGCCTCTGGATGCGCCACTGTGGCAGCGGGCAGGCCTTCAAGCCGACGGCGGTGAGCCTGAAAGCACAGCTCGAAGGGCTGGGCTGTCAGGTGCGGATGCCTTTGAAGCGTTGCGAATTGCATGGGTGAGAACCTGGCAGGTCAAAGGATACAAAACCCACAAGAATGCCGCAAGGAGCCGTTGGGATTTCTTGCACAGCACTGTTTCTTCACTTGCAGCGGATGCTCGTCCACCGGCCACTTCAGTGCTGACCTCCTTTCGTTCATAAGAGTTAAGAGAGATTCATCAAAGCACGGGCACCCGCTATATGCGCATCTCAAGCTGTCTTCGAATATCTTCGCGGAAGGGCGTTGGACAAGAAGCGCGCCCTGGTGCGAACCGTGGTCTGGAACTTGGCCCTTTGCCATCCCTCGTCTGGGTCGGATTCTTTGGGGAGAGTCAGAAACGGGTGCAGCAAGTCTTAGGCAGGCTTCATGGACATGTTTTCTACGTTTGAGATAGAGTTGTTCAGCTCTTGAGGTCATGGTTACAGGTGCTGAAGCACCTCCCTTCTTGCAGTCATCATCTCAGTTCGAAGTGATGGCATGGAATGTGCAGGCGTTTTCTCGATGCTCTCGCATGACTTTCTGGTTCCGCAGGTACATAGCTTCGAGACCTGAACTGGCTTCAACTCCAGTTGTTGTTGAGGCTTCGGATTTGCTCCGCCGAAAGCCGGCGACTAGCTACGGGACCTGACCAGGCGACCTCAAGATCGATCCCGGTGCGAGAAAGCCCAACCGTTCAGGCGCGTGCTTGATCTTCAAGGGCTCATGGCTTTTGGGGCAGTTCTCCCACACCTTACTAGCCTAGCGGCCTAGCACTACATGGCAAGCTCAGAATGTTGGGTTGATGCGCGCAAGTGTGGCACATTGCTGCACAGGTCTGTGACAGTTTCGATGCCGCTGCCACTGCTGTTTGGAAGGTGGCACACGAGCCAGGTGGGGAGAATCTGAATGGTGTTGATCAGATTCTAGCAACTGGTTGCACAAGCAGTCTGTCGGGTTCTACGTCTCAACGTGCCGTGCCATCACATCGAATCCTAACAGCGGCCAGAGGAGGACAACCTCCGCGCTGCCAGTTAGAATCACGTTGAAGGGAAGTTCGCGGGCCGAGGTGACATGTCTACCTGTGCCTGTGCTGTCTAGCATCCAACTAGAGGTTTGCGAGCACTTGCATGCTTGGGAAGAGCTTCAGTCTGCCGATATTTTGTGCAAGTTTCTGCCGCTGCACGCTTGGTGGCCAGGTTTCGCTTGAGCGAGGCTTTGCGCTTCGTCATACACATACAACGAAGAGCAAAGCTCTCCTACCCGAACAGACGTTGGTGCAGAAGTGAGGTGCGAGACTGTGCGTTTAAGACAGTAGCATGGCCCAGTGCAGGGATAGCAAACGGGAGAGACTACCAGACTACCGTGTCTTTCATCTTTTCCGCCTCACTCTGGCTGCCGGCAAGCCACAAGCCCAGAGTCTCAGTTTCGCTTCGCAGAGGTTTTCATGTGCACATTTTGTGAAAATGAGACTTGCGCATGGCTTGCAGCGTCGCCCGTAGATTCTTCCTGTCGCTCGACGGCCCAGCCGCACAGCGCACTGATGGTGCACTGATGGTGCACTGATGTGTTTGGTCTGGTTAGGGCTTGTTCTCCTACTTGTGGCAAAACCCCTCCAAGATTGCTATTCTGCACCAAGATTCGCTGACTACCTGCTGCGCGGCTAATGCACAAATTGACTCGACCACATGACTTCAGGATGTTAGGGTACTGGGTTAAATAATTAACACTCCAGACATCTGAGAGGGAGGTAGGTGAGGGGAGTGAGAAGCAGAAGCGAAACGGGACCGAGCAAGACTTCGAGAAAGTGTGATTCAAGACAGTTCAATGACTATTGAGATGACAGGTTTGAGTTGTTGCCTTAACCTCATCACGTATGTTACGCCGTGTGACGTCCTCGTCGACGGACAGGACTTCAATCACAATCACCTTGGACGACAGTCCTGTGCCAGACGGCCCTGCCGGTGTGGCAAAGAGAGCATAGCGGTGCAAAGCACCGGGAGGGCCCGAGGGTGGTGTTTTCCTTAAGCTGGACTTGGGAGCAATCTTGCGACACCAGGATACACTTCAGACAAGACGGTTTGTAGCAAGATAACATGATGTGTGCATGGTCAGATGAAGCAGAAGCCGAAACAAGGTTCCCTGCAAGTCAGCCTCGAAAGCGAAATCTTCAGAGTCGTTTCGTCAGCGCGCTCATGGTCTGAAGGACCATTTTGCAGTCGCAATTAGATTCAGGACAGAAGGAAACATGCAGAAAGTGCCAGCTTCCTGGAGTTGAGCGGGTTCGATTGTCGGCAGTATCAGATTGAGGCGCTAGAAAGCAGCATGACTCTGCCTTTGCAGCGGCTTGTGGCAGAGTAGAATGAGCCTCTCCCTGTCCGTGTGCTCCCTGTGCTCCGCGTACCGGTGCCATGACCAGCGATTGCGGCCTCTCGAAGGAAGGCCTGTTTTACGGTGTAGAGAGTGCCACACTGGTCAGCGACTCTCAGCCGTGCTGACAGTGGCAACGTTGCGACGTTGCTCACGCTCCGACCGACTTCGCAACGCTGCCAGGGGGTCGCATGCATCGCGGCCGCAGGATACAGACTTGAAGCTTCAGGAGGCGGTGAGGGAAGCCAAGGTGGTCTTCTGCATCCTCTGCCGTGGCAGCAGTTCCAAGGATGCCTGGCCAAAGTCGCCGGAGGGTGTCAGGAGCCTGGGAAACACCCGGGATGATGTGGCCCGGTCTCTGATGGTGGCACTTGGCCGTGACTCTCCAGAAGCTGCCGTGGTTCTTGTTTTTGAAGACACGCGGCAGACACGCAGCCGGCAATGGTGGGTGCTGACAAGTGGCTTCCTGGAGCAGGAAGTGACGGAGTATTCGGTGCTGCGGCAGTGCCAGCGGTTTGCACAATCAATCCACGACGAGCACAGCGCTGACGACGAGAGCGGCCGGCGCGCGGCCTTGGAGGCCAGGCCACACGGTGCTTTCTTCCTCCCAAGCCGGGACTCGCTACAAGAGACAGCTGCAGCTTTCTTCGAAGCACTAGGATGTGAGAACTCAGTGCTAGTGCTTCTAGACGAAACATTTCCTCCACTGCCAGTGACTGCACCGTCAGCAAGTGCAGATGTTCCCGAAGCTCGGCGAGCTGTCTTCGTGCTGGGCCTGCGGGAGGAGCTGAATGCAGAGCAGCTCGAGTGCTTTGCACGGGCTGCAGTCGAAAAGCGATGGAGCGTCTTGCGCTTGAGCATGGGCTGGGTTGGCGAATTCACATCGAAGGTAGTGGCACGCTTGCAGGCCTTGCAGAGCTGTCAGCAGCTCCTACAGTCACTGGGAGATCTCAAGCATTGGAAGCAGACGGGTTCATTGAACACGCTCCATGGATGGCCTTGTCCGGATCGTCGTGAGCAAGAGCTCTTTTTGCGTGACGGGCCTCTGGTCCACTTCTGTGTGCCGGTGCAGGCACCACTGCAAGAGCTGTCCTGCGACCCAAGCTCGTCGTCTGCAGCTGCATGTAGCCTGCTCGCGCGCAGCTGCATTGCAGGACTCTGGCGGGCGCATCATGCCTGGGATCGCTGCAGACTTTCCTTCGCTTTCACATGTGGGGCAGTCGTAACCGTCACGCGCCGCTTCAAAGGGCGTTTCCAGGGGCGACGGGCCACCGAATACTGCGTGCTGAAGGAACTTCGGGAGCTTGTTGATGCGGCATTGCAGGAACGCATGCAGAAGGGAAGCCTCGCGAAGGCAGCTATGCCGGGAAGACGTGCCTGCACGGTGCAGCTGCCAGAGAACGGTCTACTTCCAACTCTGCCCTACAGACGAGATGGCACGCTGCAGCTGTATTTGGAGTCGAGGAGCGACGTGCTGCGCAGTGATGCATCTGATTTGTCCGCATCGGAGTTGCTCCAGGCATCTTTGCCGGGCCGGGGGTGGGTTGTGCTTCTGATCGTCCTGATCTCAGAAAGGCTGGATAGCCCTTGTGTGGCGGGTTTAGCATCCCCACCAAACAAACCGGAATGCTCTCATCAGGCCTCAGCTGATCAGGTACTTCGTGAGGGGGCTGACAAGTCCTGTCAACTTCCAGTAGTTCAGCAAGTACAGTACAACAGTTTAGACGAGGCTACTCTTTTCAGAGCACTTCGGATGCTTTCATGCTACTGAGAGTGCCGCGACTGGGTTTTGCATCGGATGCCTTTTCTTGCGATCGGAAGTACAGCCGAGATTGCGGCAGTCTGTTGACCGTGGCGGCTCGAAGGCTTCCGGCTTGTCGCGATCCTGGCTGGGACCATGGCCCCCCCCCTTCCCACCCCTGCGTTTCCTCTCGGCGAGGCCCGAACAGAGCTCGTTGGCGGGTGATCCACAGCCCACAGCAGTGTTTCGTCACGTGTGCGTGTGCAAGAGTACAAAGTCTCCTCTCGGCCCTCCCCCTTCTCTCCGGGGAGGCAACTGCGTGGTGACAGAGGGAAACGTGCGGTTTGAATTGCTGAAGACTGCCCCTCACCCCTCCCTCTGCCCAGTCAGCCTTCGGTACACCATTGTTTGCTTAAAGACGAACCTCTCACCCAACTATGGTGTTGTTGGTTACTCTCCCCCTCACCTTCCCACTCCTCCCTCCCCGTACCCCTCCCCCCTTTCTCACCTCATGCTGGCCGAAGCGACTCCGTCTACAACAGCAGCCGCTTCCCATTTCTCGGAGAGCTCTGCCAGGAATCCCGTGCCAAGCGGTGCTGCCTCTGTGAGTGGCCCCTGCTCTGCTGCAGGAAGGACCCGTAGTAGCCGATTCCTGAAGCAGAGACCACGTGAGCGGTGGTCCACGTGACGTTATCAGGTAAGGAGCATCATCTACAACCTCAAAGAGCACTAGAGCTTGAAGGGGAAGGATACACACCGGAAGAGGTCACGATAGTCTTGGGCTTGGAGCTGAGCTCGGAGATCGTTTTCCTCAGCACGTCGCACGCGTCAAGTCTGCTCTTGAAGAGATTCTGCTTGAAAGAGTCCGTCCATAGACCATTGATACTCGCGCCGCAACGGTTGATGACAGCATCCATCCCTAAAGGGGAGGGCGAGATGTCCATCCTCCAGATGCCGCTCATTATCAAAGAATGCTCCTTTCCACAAGTCCGAGGCGCACATCCCGGCGTCGTACACAAGCTCTTACTCTTGCCGCTGCGCTCCGCGACTTACACCTGGCTGTTTGGCCTCCTTTCCTCAATTCATCCTCTATCTCCCTCCTCAGACAGGGTCATCTTTGTGCCGGAGCCGAACGGTTTCTCCACCACCACCTTCTACGCCGTCTTCGAGTACACCGGCTTCGACGGAGAGGACTTCTCCCTTCAGACACAGCAGGCTCGGTGCGTCTCTACCTTCCTCCCTCTCGCTCTTCTCCTTCTCTCGTCACGTGTTCCTTCTCCTCCCTTCTGCGGTTCCGTTGAACAACCGCAATGCGCACCTCTACTCATCTTCATCGGGATTCAAGCGCCAACCGTCACCCCTCTCTCCCTGTCTTCTGTGCCTTTCCTCTTTCCCCAATAGGACACCCGAGAGAGTTGGAATGATGAGACAATTCGTTACCCGTTCCGGAGGGCCTTGTGAGAAGGGACTTGATGATGGATGAACACGATTTCTGCTACACTCTGACCAACTCCTCGTCCTTCCCAGACGATGCATTGGAGCCACTGCGAGGAGATGCCATAGTTTAAAGGACCTTGCGCCAGGCTGGCCGTGGCCCGAGCTCCTGACGCCATCGTACATCAATGGAAAACAGACTCAACGTCTAATGCTTGCAGCATGCTATTGTTGGTACGGTTCCCGGGTGTTCCAAATTCTTCCTGATTATGCGTAGCACGCTCAGAATCTCTACTTGCGTATCAAAGCAATTCTTGGGGAGTACGCGGGTCGTAGACAAGATCTTGAGCAACGACCTCAACACGAAGAAGTGTCTGAAACTCGTTGGGCATCCTGCTGGCTTCGATCTGCTTTGCCCGTGTGCATCTTAGGAGGAGTGGGGAAAACCAGTGTTTACAGGGGTAGCTTCACCGCACCCTGCGGCCGAAGTACATTCCATTCGTTGCCGTGTGCCTGCAGGCTTTGTGGAAGCCTCTCGCAGAGAAGGATGCTCCAAGCTGCATGGTCTGCTTGGTCCTATTCACCTCGAGAGCGTCGTCCCCATTCAGGTTCTCGGCTGACTGGCAAGGGGTCGCAAGTCCTCGGCTCCCACACACAGATCATTTCACCCTGCTTTGCACGCTGCAGAGTGCCTTACTCGGCGCAGATGGCAGTGGCGCGGAGCTTCTGGCACAAGTGATCAGGGAACCCATTAGCGCGGTGGCTTTCGCGGAACCCCAGAAACGGTCGAGGAAGCGGATCGGCTTTGTGTTGCGATTGTGGCGTAGGCTGCAGTCCTCTCTGTTACGGAGTAAAAGATGCGCATGCCACTGGATGCTGTTTCAGGAGTTCAGGGGCAACACTGCCAGAATCATGGGCCTTCGCAGCGTTCGCAGCGTTCGAGCGTCTTTTTAAGCACTATCGCAAGATCGGCTCAAGTTCTGAAGTCGTGCGAAACTTTCGCAGCGAAAGTGCTTTAATCCCAGCAGAATGCCAGCCATCACAGACAACGTCTCGTGCCTTGCTGGCATTAGCTTTGGCTGTGCTCAGGCTGCACAAACTCCAGATCCAATCCCAGGTTCAACAACATCGCGCGCGAATGGCGCTGCAAGTGGTCTGCTGACGGGGAGAAGGTCGCTACTGATCGGTAGACCTTCGGCAGGGCCTTGCATGAGGGTGCTACTTTGCTCGTTGTTGAAAATGCTGAACGGTGTACTTTTTTTTCGGCCTTGGGGTATGCACTCCGGGCTGTGTCACGTATCCGCATGCGGGTGGCAAACTGTGGACAGTGTGCAAGAGATCATGAGCAGCCCCTTAGCCTCACAGTCGAAACTTCATACCGGGACCACAGTGACGGGCAGACGAGATCCTCCTCAATGCTGGCATGGAGAGAGGTTTGGGTTTGCTGTTTTTTTTTTTGCTGCTTCGGTCGGGACATGACGGGACACTGCACGGGGACATCCAGGTGTGTTGGTGTGGCTTGACGTGTTGAGCTCTTTCGGCGGGAGTTGGTTGGATGCGGCAGTAAGGCAGTCTTCGAATGTCTTCCAGATAGTTGCGATGGTATACCAGCTTTCCGCAATTCCATGACAAAGTGTGTTGGATATGGCTGCGGCATCGAGGCTTCCCTGAAAGCTGCGCAAGCCGCACTGGAAGAAGTGCCTAGCTAAGCGATCAAGTTTTGTCACAAGTTTAGTGTGGATCGCAGTGGTGACCGTTTGACTGCTTATCACCAGCTTCTGGCGAATCTGGTGTTTGAAGCACAGTCCCGCTCGAACAGCATGCAAGGTTTTGCCAGAGATCAAGAAGGAGCTGCTCTCAGCTTGACGGGCATGCGCGGAGTTCCGCCAAGACTTGTCCCTTCCGGTCTCTCAGGTGGATGGCCTAGGCGGCAACTCTTCCAGACGCAGCTTCTGTGAAAGCACTAGGTAGCTGAACCTTGCAGGCAGCGTGCAGCGCGTGGTCTGCGGCGGCTGCTTGGACTTCAAGGTATCCGTCGGCCAAGCTGGCCCAAGCAGCGCAAGCAAAGCAACGCTACTTCGCAGGTTGTTGTGAAACTGCCGGCGGACAAGTTCGGTGACTGGGAGAAGACCAAGTTCGCACCAGAGGCGCCGTCAGGAGGACAGGGAGCCGGGAGGAGGCCAGATCCGAGCTCAGGAGGCATTTCTGGGCAAGCTCAAGGGCATTGAGGGGATTTCCATCGTCGAGACGCAGACCTACACCCTGGAGGAGGCCTTTGCATGTGAAGCGAGAAGTTCCGATTGCGTGTTGAATTCCGCACGAAGCGATGCAGCAGCGGATGCCTCCGAACACGTCACGGAAAAGAGACATTGAGCCGACACACTAAGCATTGGTGGTAAGCGGTGGTTCTTGATAAATCACAGGCTAAGGTTGTGGAAGTTCCTCGATCGAAGGCCGCGACCCGGCCACCTCGGAAGTTGGGATGCAGTAAGAGCAGGGATGTATGGATTTTGAGAACCGGCATTGGCAGTTGCAATATCAAGACATACAATCGTCATGCGAGCACTGACTGTAACAAGCACAGTAGTAGTGGACCTGCTGCGGCTTTAATTTTCTGCAGGCTTTGGCAAGCTGCCAGATGTAGTTGCTTCAAAGGTCTGCGCGTTTTTCAGCTTCAACGTGCATGTTGCAGGGGTTCGAGGTCGCGGTTCAAGTTTCGGAGAAGCGATTTGAGTCTCTTTAGGGCCCCAGTGTTGCAAGGGAAGTGCATCTGCTGAGACTATGCAGCTGTTAGAGTATTGTCCTAGGCATGCCACCTGCGTTAGTGTTTCTGCATATTTCTCCTACAGGACTTTTACTGCTATTGGTACCATGCACGTGGTTCCTCCTTTCTTGTGGCTGGTTGCTGTACCATGAGTACCACGGTTATTCTAAACTTTAACTGCCTAAGCCGCAAACATATAGACGGGCAGATGCTATACAGTACCAAAGCCCGACTCTCGAAGGGAGTAGCGCGTTCCATCAGAGAAAGCCGAGCCTTCCGGAAAAGTTCCATTCCGCTCGGCCGCTTCGGACCTGCGACCAGTCCTAGTTTTGAACTTTTCCGAATCGAAATGAACCTTTGTCCAAGCACCACGCATCCAAACCTAAATCATTCCTAGATCCTTAATGGCATCCGAGACTCGCATTTGGCGTTTGCCATTGCAAAGCCGGACGGCATTTCGACGATCTGGGCTAGAATCTAGAAGTGGCAAACGGGGCCAAATGCTGTGCGAAACTGGACTAGCAAGCTCTCGCGTTGTTGCAGATCTGAGTCGCAGCGGTGGTTTTGGCGTGCCGGGGCCCCGGTCAGGGAGCGTGATGCTGATGATCGTGCAGCATTGGCAGGGACGATGCAGATGATGATGATGATGATGATGATGATGATGATGATGGTGGTGGTGGTGGTGGTGGTGGTGGTGGGGTTGGTGGGGTGGTGGTGGTGGTGGTGGTGGTGGTGCAGGTGGTGGAAAGAGAGGGTCGTGGAGGCACTGGTGCGGGTGGAGGTGGTTGTCATGGAGGTGCTGCCGCTGGTGGTGCTACGAAGCGGGCAGTCATGGTACTGATGTTCTCACGGTCATGCAGAATGTCATTGAAAGTCATGTTCTGCGAATTGTAGTAGTATGCATGTCTGCTGTTGATTATGATTTGCATTGCATGCCTTAGCGTGAAACGACCTGCCCAGGCTTGGCAAAGACACTGCAGAGTGGCTCGATGATTGCTTGCTGAAGATACTTAGCCGAGCTTTGATTTTGACTCTTGTAGAGCCTGTGGCTGCATGCAGAGGAGCATGCGCACCCTGTGCAACAGTTGTATGCTGCCTGCTGCCATGGGCGCAGTGGTGCAACAGAAGCCACCAGTGCTTGAGAAAAGTCCGCATCGTATGCCGATAGGGAGCGGAAGGTGAAGAAGGATCATGCGCAGCATACACACACACAGATCGACGCTTGCGATCCGGCGAATTTGGCTCCGGATATCGCGAGATTTAGTTGATTTTGTTGCCTTCCTCCTCAGCCGCAGCCGCTGAGATGCAAGACGCACACCTGAAGATGCTGCATGTCTCACGACGCTTGGAAGCGATACATGTTTGGCAGGCAAAGATGGCCGCGTCACGCGCAGCACGGGCCACTGTGGCTGCTGTGGCCTTGATGTCCACGCTGGCTTTCTTGGCGCCTTCGTCGCCGCGAGGTGCAGCAAACGTATTTGGAAGTGCTCGCTGTGCAGCTGGTGTGTTTCTGTTGTGGCTCGATCGGTGGCCAGTTGCACCTCCAGCCCATCGTGGAATGGCCCCTGCCTCCATCGGTGACAGTGACAATCAGGGAGGCCTACAACTGAGCGTCGGCGACCTAGCAGTCTAGAGACGGAAGCGAGGCCGTGAGGCAGCCCAGCCTCGCCTACAAGCAGGGCCTATTGTCGCTCCCAGGCGTCGGTTGGCTTCGCAGCTGTGCTGGCTGCAGCAGTGCTGCGTCGCGCATCCATTACGGACAAAGTCTCGCCTCTTGGCAGGGATCCGAACCTTACTATGTCCCTCGGTACTTAGAGATGTGTGCATGCGCATGCCCCGTGCTTCTCGCCTGGGACCGTTGACGCTTCGGCGCTTGGCTTCGTCGAACTCGCAGGTTTGACAACATCGCTCGGGAGTGGCGCTGCAAGTGGTCTGCAGACGACGACAAGGTGCTGCGCGAAAGAACACTCTGCCTGGAGTGCTTACTGCACCCGTGAGGCCTCGCTGGATGCAGCCCAGGAGGCCTTGGATTCCGTGATCTCGGACGTCAAGTCTGCTCTCTCCTCAGTCGTGCAAACTCAACATACGTTGACGGCTCCGGCGCGCATGATTTCTAAGCGCGCTTCGCTGCTTTCCAGGTGGACGGCGTGAAGTCGGTGCAGCGAGTCGTCTGCGGAGGGTGCTTAGACTTCAAGGCGACTGGCTGCCACAAGTTGCGACGCATCGATACGGGAGGCCACAACGGGCTTAGCAATTCGCAGGTGGTTGTGAAGCTGCCAGCGGACAAGTTCGGCGACTGGGAGAACGCGGGCTTTGCTCCGGAGGAGTTTTGAACATGAAGCATTCGATATTTGGTTCTTTGGTTTTGGGAATTTGCAGTTTTGGAAACGGTCGTGAATCTTTGGGCTGGCTTGCTATTTGTTGGAGCTCAGAGATCCAAAAATCAGCTGTGTTTCAAAATGGCGGTTTAGGAGTTCAGATTGGGGACAAAGGGTTCGGATTGGGTGGCGACGGGGTTCAGATTGGGTGGTGAGGGTTCAATTCCTGTTCGTAGGTGGGCAATCTGGTGTCCTGAGAGCCTGGAGTCCATTGCTTCCGGGACCGTCCGGCGAAGAGTTTTTTCTGGCAGCTTGTTTTCAGCTGTTAACAAGCAAGCACCAGTTTTTTTTGGCCACGCCAGTTGCATTTTTTTTTTTGCACTGGCAGTGGCCGGCAGGGGCAGCCAGAGCAGTGGGGCCAACAAAACAGGCTGAAAAAGCCGAAAATTCGAGATTTTTGCCAAGTCCCCCAAGGGCTGGCCGGGTCCCTGGGCCCCCGCAAAGGGCAGAGGGGCCAGGCGGAGGCGGTCAGGGGTGGTGTGGCACAGGTCTGGTCGAGCGCCTCAGAAAGTGCCTTGCAGCGAAGTTCCCGACTGAGAGCTGCTTTGCTCGTCTGTGGCCATCACACCGGGCCTTCGGAAGGGCTCAGGCAGAGATTCTACACCTGGCAAGTCTCTACTTGCATCTTTGCCGATACCCTCTCGAACCGATGGATGTTCTTCAGGAGGCATTCCTGGACAAGCTCAAGGCCATCGATGGCATCTCTACCGTGGAGACGCAGACCTACACGCTTGAAGAGGCTTCAGAAGAGCTCTTGTGTCCGTGTGCATTCTCAGCGTTTCCTTTCATCAAAGTGATCGTCACAGGTCTGAGCCATCAGCTTGCTCACAATGCAGGTGGCTCTGACTTTGGCATACATGACATCAGCCTTTGTGCTTGTGGGGAGTGCGCAGATTGGGTAGATGCACACGTTGCTAACCACTATGGAGATACAACCTCACACGACACGCGAGTCGGTATGTCAGGTGCTTGGGGCGTCTCACCTTCGGATCTTTGGTTGACTGCGAAGCTGCTTTCGCGGGCCTGCTTCGGATCCCTGAAGTGTAAGACCTGCCCCAAGGATGCGCGTCGGATGTTGGGAGTGCTGGGTGATTGTGTGACATATGGTGAAGACGATGGCGTTGCTTCGCAGTTTGTAAGCAAGCGGAGACCGGCAATCCCTCGACAATATCAGTTTCAACAGTGTAGCAAAGACTGCTGAAGAACTAGAGGTTGGAAAGGCTGCTGGGTTTGCATGCAGCAAGACTTCGTGTCTCCGTGATGCGTGTTGTAGCGAACAGAGATCATCGCTTCTGCATGTTTTTACTTCGGAGACCTTCCAGTTGCCGTGCAGTTTCTGGGCTCAAGTCGGGAGCAGTTTGAGGGATCTGCCTTTTCCGTCCAACCATGCCGGAGATCACCAAGTCCGTGAAGCCGCTTGGCCTTCAATCTACATGCAAGCGGTGGTTCAGGTGTCTGATCATCCCATTGCATGCTTGAAGGTTTGATAACATTGCCCGGGAATGGCGCTGCAAGTGGGCAGATGACAACGACAAGGTGGCGCATGAACAGCTCTCTCGGCTTTGCTGCGCAGCTTTGCCGTCAGCCTTCCCGTGCAGGCAGCGCTGAGCGCCGCACAGGCAGCCCTGGACGACGTCTTGGCCGACCTGAGCTCCGCACAGCTTGCGATGTTTCGAGTTTTCTTCACTTGTTGGTGGAGGGTCGTCATTCCGCCTTCCGACGCAAACAGCTCACTCTGATCGCCTAATGGCAATGCGATTACGGAAAGGACCAGCGAAGTTTTGTTTATCCTTCAAGATATGGAGCGGTTTAAACGAAGGCCGAGTTAATGGATGTTTTAGTCAACGCCGGAGTTCTTCGGAGCAGTTTTTGTATGAGACCCCGTAAAGCAAACGAAGCGACGACTCGGGAAGCAATAACGTTTTATAGGCAATGACACAAGACAACTATAGACAACTAAAGAACCGGGCAAGGTCCCTCCTTATGCCTTGTGGAAAGATTGCATAGGCCTTCCCCCTCAAAAGTCGCTTCTAAGTCTCCCTTTCTGATGCCTGCGGGGCTTGGCAGGTTGAGGGCGTGGGCTCCGTGCAGCGCGTGGTCTGCGGAGGCCTGGACCACTTCGCCGGAGCCGATGTGGTTGTTATCGAGGGCTCGGAAATTTGGGCATTTTTGGGTATTGCCACTATTCGCACTGAGCTCCCTCGAGGCTGCCTGGACTTCAAGGCCTCGAAGGGGCCGAAGGGGACGCGGAAGATCCCTCTGAAAGCTCTGATCATGTTTGAGCATGTCTTGCAGGTGGTGACAAAGCTGTCGGCAGCCGCTTTCGGTGAGTGGGAGAAAGCCAAGTTCGCACCCGAGGCAGAACATTCGAGAGACATGTCCTGCAGAAGCTGAGTCTGAGTCTAGCAATCTGGAATGAAGCCGCCGGCGTTTCAACTCGCAAATGCCTGCGCTAGAAACATGATTCGGATGTGCATCAGATGTGCACCCACGGCGCAGGAAGAGTTCTTGTCCAAGCTGAAGGGCATCAAGGGCATCTCCAACGTTGAGACCCAGACCTACACTCTCGAGGAGGCTGCTTGAATGGTGCTGTACTGTAGCTCAACTCTGTTGCTTCTCAGTTCCCCGTGTAGAAATTGAGTACCACCCTTGCCTCTCGGAGCCCGGGTTGACTTCCAGTGCCAAAGAGATGCGTTGTCCAGGGGCCTAGAGTCGATGATAGCCCCTTTAAGGTCTGAGTCCATAAGATCACAACTTGTTGTGTCCGCAGCTTGCAACATCCAGCAATGTAGGGCAATAAAACTTGTCAGAGTTGGTTTGTCGTTGTCTACAGGTCAAGATGAACAAGAAGGACATCAAGAAGGCCCAGGAGAAGAAGGCGACATGTGTGTCTTGAGACATGACCTGACACGAAGGCTGAAGACTCCGTAAGTTTCGGCTTGCGCTTCAGAGCCTCTTGTGAGGAGAAGGAAGCAGCCGAGAAGGCCAAGGATGCGCCAAAGGCCCCGGAGGATCCAGCAGCTCGGACCAGCAGCCAGGGGGTCTTCCAGGCTGCGATTGTGTTGCAAGACTTTAGTTCGTGTTGCTGACGAAATGAGGCCAAGAAGCTGAAGAAGGCGCATTGACATGGCCAGCTCTGCTCCTCGGGGGCCCGTTCTTTCGAGTTGTTGCAGGTCATCAAGGAGGGCGGCAAGCGTGGAGTTGAGATTGAGGGCGCTGCCGACATGGGTGGCCTGCAGTCAGCGTCCTGGGCGACTGCAGTAAGCAAGGGGTTTAGGCTTAAGGCGCTAGGCCTTTGTCATGGAGAAGTTTTGGAAAACCCGAGTCGGCGAGGTTCTTCTGCACTTCCGTCGACGAACCGGAGGTTGGTGAAGAAGCAAGTGAACGTGCGGATTTTCAGTTCCACTGCCCGTACCATGTCAAACATGTCTGTCTGTGAGGGTCTATCGGATTATCAGACTGCTAGGACCACAGCTCCTCTACCCAATAACATCTTGAAGCCTATAGATCTGCCTTGTGGAGAAGTTGCCAAAGCCTGTGGACGTCGGTGCTAATGATGGTAAGGGCCAGAGAGCTGAGGACAGCAATAGTCCTCCTGCTGCCACGGCGACAACAGTAATAATACACACGGTGATGATCGCTGCGACAACCGCTAATAAGAACAAAAAAGACGGCAAGCATGGGGATGTCCGGTGAAAGCGTTGGGAACTCCTTCACAAATCGGGATGAAGCTGCGCAGAGACTTCAGCGGCGAAGCATGGTCTTGCCAGGGCGATGTCGAGCTCCTGACGAAGTGCGTCGAGGTGTGGAGAAGTTTTCGATGAGCCCTGGAGATTCCGATGTTCACATGTGAGGCCATGAATGCCAAGTCCGATCCTGGCGAGGAGGAGCGAAAAGGCAGGGTTCCGGAGCAAGTCTTCGGTTGCCGTCGCAAATTCGCCTGAGCCGCAGGCGGCTCTGGCCACATCGGCAAGATGGCGGGGCCCACCAGAAAAAAGGGCAAGTGATGTGTCCAGAGACACCCTGGTTGTTTGCGCGGCTGTTTCTTTCTTCGAAGGTGTTCTCAGCTGGAGCGGAACACCTCGCAGTTCTTGCTTACGTCCCAGAGGCTGGCTCCCTCTGTCAGGCTCTGTACATCGGTCCATGCTCGCACCTGCTGAGAGCGACAGCGACATATCGCGAATATCCGTGGCTCATCGTAGCTGTTCCCAGCCCTGCTGCGTGAGAGGAGAAACAGGCCGAGTTGTCCTGCGAGGCACGGATGTGGAATCTGCTGATTACACTGCATTCGTGTTGGAAAGGCTAGCACGAGCTGAGTCGTGGAAGCATGCCCGGTCCTGTCCTTGCGTTTTGAAAAGGCTTGGCTGGAGAAGGTCCTGAGCCAGCAGCCAGGCTATCAGGTCCTCACGAAGGCCAAGGTGCGGCAATCCTGCAGAAGCTTGCTGCCGTGGGTTGGGTTCTTTGGTTGGGGAGTGGCATAACTATCAGATGTAAATTGAATTGTGCAGAAAATACAGGCCGGAACACAGAATAGCAAACGCTACTGTCTCATACAGCAGAGGATGCTGAGGACAAGGTCAAGTGAAGAAGCCAGGATGACTGCACAGCATTTTGTAGAGGGTACGAGCGAGCTCAGGGTGCTGATGAGACCATGAAGAGCAGTCAATATAGACATTGCAGTCAGCAAGTAGTAGCAATCAGTGAAAACACACAGTACGGTTGCAAAGCCACAGCCTCCGAAATAGTAGTCAGCAGTATAAGAAAAGAGTATGTAGGCCAAGTGTATTGATGAGGGGCGGTCGAGGACCATCCGCTGGCTGTGTTGGACGCCATGCATCGCACCTGCTGCTTAGCTTGGTACAGGATGTGTCCACGGGCATCATCCCCACCAACGCGGACCACTGCCGGCTGTGAGTTGTAGTTGACAATGAGAACCAACGATGCCCAAGCTGACCACCATGCTTTCCAGGACAAGGGCATCTTCCCTCTGAAGATCAGGGAGGGCCTGATTCTGGAGGCCATGTGCTGCAGCACGCAGAAGCGAACGGTTCCTGCTACGCTACGCAGACTTCGCGTCGGCGGCAAGAGAAAGCGAGCTCAGCTTGTGCAAGGCGAACAACTACCTCAGGAAGAAGGGTCTGTTCCCCGAGGTGCCATCCCAAGCTTCTTTCATGTGAGGGGAACCGACGGTTCAGGAGGTTGCATATGGCTGATACTGACATGCTTGTCGGGCCCAAACCCTTGCCACAGTGCTTCATCTCTGATCTTGCTGCACTGTAGTTTTGAGTCTGTTCTTGCCTGTGCTCCAGTAAACTGTCGATCGTAGAATCTTGCCTACATGTCACGAGGGACAAGCAGGTATGCAGATATTCCTTCATGCGTGCAAGAAGTATGCGCAGCTGTCAGACTATCCATCAGTTCGTCTGTCTATGTATCTGTTTGTTTCTCGTTTTTATCCATCTATCTATCTCTTTCTCTCTCTCTCTCAATGTATCTTTCTTCTGTTTTTCTATCTCTGTATCTATCTATGTATCCATCCATCCATCCATCCATCCATCCATCCATCCATCCGTCCATGCATACACACATACCTAAACACATAATTTGCATAG